GTTGTGGTATACAAGTCATGTGTAGGTGTATTACCTGATGCTGGGTTTTGGTGTACAAGTCATGTGTAGGTGTATTACCTGATGATGGGTTGTGGTGTACAAGTAATGTGACGATTTACTACCTGATGCTGGTTTGTGGTATACAAGTCATGTGTTGATGTATTACCTGATGCTGGGTTGTGGTATACAAGTCATGTGTAGATGTGTTACCTGATGCTAGGTTGTGGTATATAAGCCATGTGTAGGTTTATTACCTGGTGCTGGGACGTGGTATACAAGTCATGTGTAGATGTATTACCTGATGCTGGGTTGTCGTATACAGGACATGTGTAGGTGTATTACCTGGTGTTTGATTGTGATGTACAAGTCATGTGTATGTGTATTACCTGATGCTGGGTTGTGATATACAAGTCATGTGTAGGTGTATACCTCGTGCTGGGTTGTGCAATAAAAGTCATGTGTAGGTGTATTACCTGATGCTGGGTTGTGGTATACAAGTCATGTGTATGTGTATTACCTAATGCTGGGTTGTGGTATACAAGTCATGTATAGGTGTATTACCTGATGCTGGATTTTGGTAAACAAGTCATGTGTAGGTGTTTTACCTGGTACTGGGTTGTGGTATACAAGTCATGTGTAGATGTATTACCTGATGCTGGGTTGTGGTAAACAAGTCATGTGTAGGTGTATTACCTGATAATGGGTTGTGGTATACAAGTCATGTGTAGATGTATTACCTGATGCTGGGTTGTGGTGTACAAGTCATGTGTAGGTGTATTACATGATGCTGGGTTGTGCAATAAAAGTGATGTGTAGATGTATTACCTGATGCTTGGTTGCGGAATACAAATCATGTGTAGGTGTTTAACCTGATGCTGGGTTGTGGTATACAAGTCATGTGTAGATGTATTACCTGATGCTTGGCTGCGGAATAAAAATCATGTGTAGGTGTATTACCTGATGCCGGGTTGTGGTATACAAGTCATGTGTAGATGTATTACCTGATGCTGGGTTGTGGTATACAAGTCATGTGTAGGTGTATTACCTGATGCTGGGTTTTGGTGTACAAGTCATGTGTAGGTGTATTACCTGATGATGGGTTGTGGTGTACAAGTCATGTGACGATTTACTACCTGATGCTGGTTTGTGGTATACAAGTCATGTGTTGATGTATTACCTGATGCTGGGTTCTGGTATACAAGTCATGTGTAGATGTGTTACCTGATGCTAGGTTGTGGTATATAAGCCATGTGTAGGTTTATTACCTGGTGCTGGGACGTGGTATACAAGTCATGTTTAGATGTATTACCTGATGCTGGGTTGTGGTATACAAGACATGTGTAGGTGTATTACCTGGTGTTTGATTGTGATGTACAAGGCATGTGTAGGTGTATTACCTGATGCTGGGTTGTGATATACAAGTCATGTGTAGGTGTATACCTCGTGCTGGGTTGTGCAATAAAAGTCATGTGTAGGTGTATTACCTGATGCTGGGTTGTGGTATACAAGTCATGTGTATGTGTATTACCTAATGCTGGGTTGTGGTATACAAGTCATGTATAGGTGTATTACCTGATGCTGGATTTTGGTAAACAAGTCATGTGTAGGTGTATTACCTGGTACTGGGTTGTGGTATACAAGTCATGTGTAGGTGTATTACCTGATGCTGGGTTGTGGTAAACAAGTCATGTGTAGGTGTATTACCTGATGCCCGGTTGTGGTATACAAGTCATGTGTAGATGTATTACCTGATGCTGGATTTTGGTAAACAAGTCATGTGTAGGTGTATTACCTGGAATTGGGTTGTGGTATACAAGTCATGTGTAGATGTATTGCCTGATGCTGGGTTGCGGAATACAAATCATGTGTAGGTGTTTAACCTGATGCTGGGTTGTGGTATACAAGTCATGTGTAGATGTATTACCTGATGCTTGGTTGCGGAATACAAATCATGTGTAGGTGTTTAACCTGATGCTGGGTTGTGGTATACAAGTCATGTGTAGATGTATTACCTGATGCTTGGCTGCGGAATAAAAATCATGTGTAGGTGTATTACCTGATGCTGGGTTTTGGTATACAAGTCATGTGTAGATGTATTACCTGATGCTGGGTTGTGGTATACAAGTCATGTGTTGATGTATTCCCTGATACTGGGTTGTGGTATACAAGTCATGTGTAGGTGTATTACCTGATGCCCGGTTGTGGTATAGAAGTCATGTGTAGATGTATTACCTGATGCTGGGTCGTGGTATACAAGTCATGTGTAGGTGTATTACCTGATGCTGGGTTTTGCTGTACAAGTCATGTGTACGTGTATTACCTGATAATGGGTTGTGGTGTACAAGTCATGTGACGATTTACTACCTGATGCTGGTTTGTGGTATACAAGTCATGTGTAGGTGTATTACCTGATGTTGGTTTTTGGTATACAAGTCATGTGTAGGTGTATTACCTGATGCTGGGTTCTGGTATACAAGTCATGTGTAGATGTATTACCTGATGCTGGGTTCTGGTATACAAGTCATGTGTAGATGTATTACCTGATGCTGGGTTGTGGTATACAAGTCATGTGTAGGTGTATTACCTGATGCTGGGTTGTGGTAACAAGTCATGTGTAGGTGTATTACCTGACGCTTTGTTGCCGAATACAAATCATGTGTAGGTGTTTTACCTGATGCTGGGTTGTGGTATACAAGTCATGTGTAGATGTATTACCTGATGCTTGGCTGCGGAATAAAAATCATGTGTAGGTGTATTACCTGATGCTGTTTTGTGGTATACAAGTCATGTGTAGATGTATTGCCTGATGCTGGGTTGTGGTATACAAGTCATGTGTAGATGTATTACCTGATGCTTGGTTGCGGAATACAAATCATGTGTAGGTGTATTACCTGATGCTGGGTTTTGGTGTACAAGTCATGTGTTGGTGTATTACCTGATGATGGGCTGGGTGTACAAGTTATGTGACGATTTACTACCTGATGCTGTTTTGTGGTATACAAGTCATGTGTAGGTGTATTACCTGATGCTGGTTTGTGGTATACAAGTCATGTGTAGGTGTATACCTGGTGCTGGGTTGTGCAATACAAGTCATGTGTAGGTGTATTACCTGATGCTGGGTTTTGGTGTACAAGTCATGTGTAGGTGTATTACCTGATGCTGTGTTGTGGTATACAAGTCATGTGTAGGTGTATTACCTGATGCTGGGTTGTGGTATACAAGTCATGTGTAGGTGTATTACCTGATGATGGGTTTTGGTAAACAAATCATGTGTAGGTGTATTACCTGGTGCTGGGTTGTGGTATACAAGTCATGTGAAGGTGTATTACCTGATGCTGGGTTGTGGTAGACAAGTCATGTGTAGGTGTATTACCTGATGCTGGGTTGTGGTATACAAGTCATGTGTAGGTGTATTACCTGATGCTGGGTTTTGGTGTACAAATCATGTGTAGGTGTATTACCTGATGCTGGGTTGTGGTGTACAAGTCATGTGTAAATGTATTACCTGATGCTGGTTTGTGGTATACAAGTCATGTGTAGATGTATTACCTGATGTTGGGTTATGGTATACAAGTCATGTGTAGATGTATTACCTGATGCTGGGTTGTGGTATTCAAGTCATGTTTAGATGTATTACCTTGCGCTGGGTTGTGGTATACAAGTCATGTGTAGATGCATTACCTGATGCTGAGTTCTGGTATACAAGTCATGTGTAGGTGTATTACGAGTTGTTGGGTTGTGGTGTATAAGTCATGTGTAGGTGTATTACCTGATGCTGGGTTTTGGGGTACAAGTCATATGTAGGTGTATTACCTGATGATGGGTTGTGGTGTATAAGTTATGTGACGATTTACTACCTGATGCTGTTTTGTGGTATACAAGTCATGTGTAGGTGTATTACCTGATGCTGGGTTGTGGTATACAAGTCATGTGTAGATGTATTACCTGATGCTGGGTTGTGGTATACAAGTCATGTGTAGGTGTATTACCTGATGCTGGGTTTTGGTGTACAAGTCATGTGTAGGTGTATTACCTGATGCTGGGTTGTGGTGTACAAGTCATGTGACGATTTACTACCTGATGTTGGTTTATGGTTACAAGTCATGTGTAGATGTATTACCTGATGCTGGATTGTGGTATACAAGTCATGTGTAAATGTATTACCTGATGCTGGGTTGTGGTATACAAGTCATGTGTAAATGTATTACCTGATGTTGGGTTATGGTATACAAGTCATGTATAGATGTATTACCTGATGCTGGGTTGTGGTATACAAGTCATGTGTAGATGTATTACCTTGTGCTGGGTTGTGGTATACAAGTCATGTGTAGATGTATTACCTGATGCTGAGTTCTGGTATACAAGTCATGTGTAGGTGTATTACGAGGTGTTGGACTGTGGTGTATAAGTCATGTGTAGGTGTATTACCTGATGCTGGGTTGTGGTATACAAGTCATGTGCAGGTGTATTACCTGGTGCTTGGTTGTGGAATACAAGTCATGTGTATGTGTATTACCTGATGCTGGGTTGTGGTGTACAAGTCATGTGTAGGTGTATTACCTGGTGCTGGTTTGTGGAATACAAGTCATGTGTAGGTGTATTACCTGATGTTGGGTTGTGGTATACAAGTCATGTGTAGCCGTATTACCTGATGCTGGATCGTGGTATACAAGTGATGTGTAGCCGTATTATGTGGTGTTGGGTTGTGGTATACAAGTCATGTGTAGGTGTATTACGTTGTGTTGGGTTATGGTGTACAAGTCATGTGTAGGTGTATTACCTGATGTTTGGTTTTGGTGTTCAAGTCATGTGTAGGTGTATTACCTGGTGTTGGGTTGTGGTATACAAGTCATGTGTAGGTGTATTGCCTGGTGTTGGGTTGTTGTGTACAAGTCATGTGTAGGTGTATTACCTTGTGTTGGGTTGTGTTGTACAAGTCATGTGTAGGTGTATTACCTTGTGTTGGGTTGTGGTGTACAAGTCATGTGTAGATTACAAACCTGGTGCTGTGCGATTACCCGCTTCCTAGCTGCATTAAACAGCTGCTCGTCAGACCAATCGGAGTGTTCCGCTTTAAGTCTTCTCGCGATGTAGTTGTGATAGCGGAACCACATCACCCCGAATGACAGAAGTAGTGGGTTCTCATTGCCACGGGGATTCCCCAAGCCTGCAGCATGGATCAAGTGGGTGCGTGAGTGGCGTCAGTGATGAAGCATTTATGTTGAATTATTTTGTCTTTTCCCTTTATAAACATACAGATTCCTTCTTACATTTTTGTTGTGTATTTAAACAAATTTCAAGTTTGAAATATTCTGAAAATTCTCCAAGATTTGTAATGTTCAAACAAATAGCAGACATCTTTGCCACATTGGAATTGAAACGGGATTCTAAACGTATAGTAGGTTCTATACAGATTCTATAAATCATGGGGGGCACGGGTGGCCCAGTCGTCTAAGGCGCCGCGATTTGCTGTGCAGAGTTGCGTCCCTTGGGCAGGCCAGAAACCTATGATTGTGGGTTCGAATTCCGGCCAAATCAGATTAAATACAGTAGGTTCTATGCAGATTATATAAGTTGGGTCAATGCAGATTAAATACTGTAGGTTCTATGCAGATTATATACTGTAGGTTCTATGCAGATTAAATACTGTCGGTTATATGCAGATTATATACAGTAGGTTCTAATGCTATGCAGATTATATACTGTAGGTTCTATGCAGATTAAATACTGTCGGTTATATGCAGATTGTATACAGTTGGGTCAATGCAGATTAAATACTGTAGGTTCTTTGCAGATTATATATAGTAGATTCTAATAGTATGCAGGTTATGTACAGTAGATTCTAATAGTATGCAGGTTACATACAGTAAGTTTTATGCAGATTAAATACAGCAGGTTCTATGCAGATTAAATACAGTAGTTTATATGCAGATTATACACAGTTGGGTCAATGCAGATTAAATACTGTAGGTTCTATGCAGATTATATGTAGTAGATTCTAATAGTATGCAGGTTATGTACAGTAGATTCTAATGCTATGCAAATTTATATACAGTAGATACTAATAGTATCTAGGTTACATACTGTAAGTTCTATGCAGATTAAATACAGTAGGTTCTATGCAGATTAAATACTGTAGGTTCTATGCAGATTATACACAGTTGGGTCAATGCAGATTAAATACTGTAGGTTCTATGCAGATTAAATACTGTCGTTATATGCAGATTATATACAGTAGGTTCTAATAGTATGCAGATTATATACAGTAGATTCTAAAAGGATGCAGGTTAAATACAGTAGGTTCTATGCAGATTGTATACAGTTGGGTCAATGCAGATTAAATACTGTAGGTTCTATGCAGATTATATATAGTAGATTCTAATAGTATGCAGGTTATGTACAGTAGATTCTAATAGTATGCAGGTTACATACAGTAAGTTTTATACAGATTAAATACAGTAGGTTCTATGCAGATTAAATACAATAGTTTATATGCAGATTATACACAGTTGGGTCAATGCAGATTAAATACAGTAACTGTAGGTTCTATGCAGATTATATGTAGTAGATTCTAATAGTATGCAGGTTATGTACAGTAGATTCTAATGCTATGCAAATTATATACAGTAGATACTAATAGTATCTAGGTTACATACTGTAAGTTCTATGCAGATTAAATACAGTAGGTTCTATGCAGATTAAATACTGTAGGTTCTATGCAGATTATACACAGTTGGGTCAATGCAGATTAAATACTGTAGGTTCTATGCAGATTATACACAGTTGGGTCAATGCAGATTAAATACTGTAGGTTCTATGCAGATTATACACAGTTGGGTCAATGCAGATTAAATACTGTAGGTTCTATGCAGATTATACAAAGTTGGGTATGCAGGTTATATCTAGTTGGTTCTATGCAGATTAAATACTGTAGGTTATATGCAGATTAAATACTGTAGGTTATATGCAGATTAAATACTGTAGGTTATATGCAGATTAAATACTGTAGGTTATATGCAGGTTATATACATTAGATTCTAATGGTATGCAGGTTATATACAGTAGATTCTGATTGTAGGGTGATTATATACAGTAGATTCTAATGGTATGCAGGTTATATACAGTAGATTCTGATTGTAGGGTGATTATATACAGTAGATTCTAATGGTATGCAGGTTATATACAGTAGATTCTGAGTGTAGGGTGATTATATACAGTAGATTCTAATGGTATGCAGGTTATATACAGTAGATTCTGATTGTAGGGTGATTATATACAGTAGATTCTAATGGTATGCAGGTTATATCTAGTTGGTTCTATGCAGATAAGATACTGGTTGAAGTCTTACGGTAGAACCTGCTGACTGGACGCAGCATGTGAAGTTTCGGGGCTGGGGGGTTGGCCATCGGTAGTCGGATGTCGTTTATCTTTGGTATAGATTCCGTCAGGGGTGCGTTTGGATCATTGGCTATTAATTCTCCCCCTTCAAACGACCGAAGTGTATCAGTCCAAGCCTTGGCAAACCCGTACATGAGATTCCCGTCCAGGAACGGCGTGATTTCGTTCAGCTGTTGCAAAGATAAACAATTTTACTGCTGGAGCATCCATACATGTTTGCATTACATATCTCACGACCGTATCGTTTCACTGAAGAAACAGATTCTGTTGACCTTACAGTCATGTTAAGCAACTTGCATCTTGCTTGCTGTGTCTCATTTGCTTTGATTGGTTCGAGGGGAAGGGAGGTGACAGTAGTCAGTGTGCATGTTGTGTCTCGCATGTTGTTGAGAGGAGGCAGGTGGAGGGAGGAGGAGGGAGGGGGCAGGGGGAGGAGGGGAGATGGAGGTGACAGTGGTCAGTGTGCATGTTGTGTCTCGCATGTTGTTGAGAGGAGGCAGGTGGAGGGAGGAGGAGGGAGGGGGCAGGGGGAGGAGGGGAGATGAGGGTGACAGTGGTCAGTGTGCTTGTTGTGTTTCGCATGTTGTTGAGAGGAGGCAGGTGGAGGGAGGAGAAGGGAGGGGGCAGGGGGAGGAGGGGAGATGAGGGTGACAGTGGTCAGTGTGCATGTTGTGTCTCGCATGTTGCTGAGAGGAGGCAAGTGGAGGGAGGAGGAGGGAGGGGGCAGGGGGGGGGACGGGAGATGAGGGTGACAGTGGTCAGTGTGCTTGCTGTGTCTCATTTGTTTTTGTTTGGGTAGCAGGGGAAGGGAGGTGACATTCGTCAGTGTACACGTTGGGTCTCACATGTGTTCAGAGGGTGTGAGGAGGAGGGGGAGGAGAGAGAGAAGGGGAGGGAGGGGGAGGCAGAGAGGGAGGTGGAGGCAGGGGAAGGCAGGAGGAGGAAGGGGGAACAAGGGGGGGGGGGGGGGGGGGGGCAGGGGGGTTGAGGTGACAGTAATCAGTGCGCAAACTGTGTCTCACCTGTTGTCGGGGGTTGTTTGGTGAGTAGCCGGTGCTCTGGTCGTATCGGGATCTCAGGAAGGGCATCTCCGGGTCCGTCACCTTAAGTTCTTTAGCGTATTTGTGGTTCTTCGGAATCGGGATGTTGAAGAACTCCCTCGGGCAGCCTGGTCTCTGGGAATCCATGATCTCTTCTACGACTTGTTGGCCTGAGTTAGATGTCAATGGATGGAGAGATCACACTACAGTATTGTAGAATGTAGAGTCTAATTGATTGTGAGAATTATGATTGACAATGAAAAGTACGATTGATATTGAGAATTACGCTTGATTGTGAGAAAGACGCTTGATATTGAGAATTACGCTTGATTGTGAGAAAGCTGATGGATAGTGAGTATACACGTTGATAGTGAGCAGTACGTTTGATAGTGAGAAGTATGATTGACGGTGATAATTACTATTGATAGTGAGAAATAAAATTGATAGCGATAAGTACAATAAAAAGTTTGAAAAATGATTGACAGTGAGAAGTGTGATTGATAGTAAGAGGTAGGATTAATAGTTAGAAGTATGATTGATAGTGTGAAGTATGATTGAAAGTCAAACGTACGATTGACAGTAACAAGTACGATTGATATTGAGGAGAAGAAAGCATGCCACTCCGTGGCGTGATGCACGGCTTACATGCTTGCATGCGTTGCGGATAGAGAAGTCGGCTTACAGGAAACATCAAATATTACACAAATAATTCCGCTTTTGAAAAAAGTAGCGTTCTCGCAGTGCGTTCCGGTTAAATGAAAGACATGTCTACAAGGGTGATTCTTATGATAGATGCACGACAGACAGACAGACAGACATGACAATGCAAATCCTCATTACCAAAAAATGTCATGAAGGCGTTCCTTCTTCTCTTGGAGCCCCTGCCAATTGTTCCGTTGTGTGCCGCGTCGCTGATGTCGAAAGGGTTGGGTCGATTGGGACCCGAGGGTTCAAACACGCCGTCACTGTAGGCGGTGGGACTTCGCCGGAGCAGCTGGCCATCTGTACAATAAATACACGGTCACGTGGTGCTTCAGTCGTACATATTAAAGGGTCATGTGGTGTATCAGTTGTATATAACAAAAGTTCATGTAGTGTATCAGTTGTATATAACAGTAGGTCATGTAGTGTATCAGTTGTATATAACACAAGGTCATGTGGTGTATCAGTTATATATAACATAATGTCATGTGGTGTATCAGTTGTACATAACACAAGGTCATGTGGTGTATCAGTTGTACATAACACAAGGTCATGTGGTGTATCAGTTGTACATAACAGAAGGTCATGTGGTGTATCAGTTATATATAACACAATGTCATGTGGTGTATCAGTTGTACATAACAGAAGGTCATGTGGTGTATCAGTTGTATATAACACAAGGTCGTGTGGTATATCAGTTGTATATAACACAAGGTCATGTGGTGTATCAGTTGTATAAGGCAGAATGTCATGTGGTGTATCAGTTGTACATAACACAAGGTCATGTGGTGTGTCAGTTGTATAAGGCAGAATGTCATGTGGTGTATCAGTTGTATATAACACAAGGTCATGTGGTGCATCAGTTGTATATAACACAAGGTCATGTGTTGCAGCAATTGTTCACAATACAATGTCATGTGTTGCACAACTGTTCACAATACAATGTCATGTGTTCCACCAACTGTTCAGAAAACAATATCATGTGTCGCACCAGCTGTTAAAAATACAACGTCATGTGTTCCACCAACTGTTCACAATACAGTGTCATGTGTCGCACCAACTGTTAAAAATACAATGTCATGTGTTGCACCTGTTCACAATACAGTGTCATGTGTTCCACAAACTGTTCAGAACACAATATCATGTGTTGCACAACTGTCCACAATACAGTGTCATGTGTTCCACCAACTGTTCAGAAAACAATGTCATGTGTCGCACCAGCTGTTAAAAATACAATGTCATGTGTTGCAGCAAGTGTTCACAATACATTGTCAAGTGTTGGACCAACTGTTTACAAAACAATGTCATGGTTTGGACCAACTGTTCACAATACAATGTCATGTGTTGCAGCAACTGTTCAGAAAACAATATCATGTGTCGCACCAGCTGTTAAAAATACAATGTCATGTGTTGCAGCAACTGTTCACAATACAGTGTCATGTGTCGCACCAACTGTTAAAAATACAATGTCATGTGTTCCACCAACTGTTCACACTACAATGTCATGTGTTGCACCTGTTCACAATACAGTGTCATGTGTTCCACAAACTGTTCAGAACACAATATCATGTGTTGCACAACTGTTCACAATGCAATGTCATGTGTTGCAGCAACTGTTCAGAAAACAATATCATGTATCGCACCAGCTGTTAAAAAATACAATGTCATGTGTTGCACCAACTGTTAAAAAATACAATGTCATGTGTCGCACCAGCTGTTAAAAAATACAATATCATGTGTTGCACCAACTCCTCACGATACAATGTCATGTGTTCCACCAACTGTTCAGAAAACAATGTCATGTGTCGCACCAGCTGTTAAAAATACAATGTCATGTGTTGCACAACTGTTTACAATACATTGTCAAGTGTTGGACCAACTGTTTACAATACAATGTCATGTTTTGCACCAACTCCTCACGATACAATGTCATGTGTTCCACCAACTGTTTACACTACAATGTCATGTGTTGCACCTGTTCACAATACAATGTCATGGTTTGGACCAACTGTTCACAATACAGTGTCATGTGTTCCACAAACTGTTCAGAACACAATATCATGTGTTGCAGCAACTGTTCACAATGCAATGTCATGTGTTGCAGCAACTGTTCACACTACAATGTCATGTGTTGCACAACTGTTTACAATACAATGTCATGTGTTGCAGCAACTGTTCACACTACAATATCATGTGTTGCACCCGTTCAAAATACAATGTCATGGTTTGGACCAACCGTTCACAATACAGTGTCATGTGTTCCACAAACTGTTCAGAACACAATATCATGTGTTGCACAACTGTTCACAATGCAATGTCATGTGTTTCAGCAACGGTTCACAATACAATGTCATGTGTTGCACCTGTTCACAATACAGTGTCATGTGTTCCACAAACTGTTCAGAACACAATATCATGTGTTGCACAACTGTCCACAATGCAATGTCATGTGTTCCACCAACTGTTCAGAAAACAATGTCATGTGTCGCACCAGCTGTTAAAAATACAATGTCATGTGTTGCAGCAACTGTTCACAATACGTTGTCAAGTGTTGGACCAACTGTTTACAAAACAATGTCATGTTTTGCACCAACTCCTCACGATACAATGTCATGTGTTGCACGAGATGTTCACAATACAATGTCATGTGTTGCAGCAACTGTTTACAATACAGTGTCATGTGTCGCACCAACTGTTCACAATACAATGTCATGATTTGGACCAACTGTTCACAATACAATGTCATGTGTTGCACCAACTGTTCACAATACTATGTCATGTGTTCCACCAACTGTTCAGAAAACAATATCATGTGTCGCACCAGCTGTTAAAAATACAATGTCATGTGTTGCAGCAACTGTTCACAATACAGTGTCATGTGTCGCACCAACTGTTCACACTACAATGTCATGTTTTGCACCAACTGTTCACAATACAGTGTCATGTGTTCCACCAACTGTTCAGAAAACAATATCATGTGTCGCACCAGCTGTTAAAAATACAATGTCATGTGTTGCAGCCACTGTTCACAATACAGTGTCATGTGTCGCACCAACTGTTAAAAATACAATGTCATGTGTTCCACCAACTGTTCACACTACAATGTCATGTGTTGCACCTGTTCACAATACAGTGTCATGTGTTCCACAAACTGTTCAGAACACAATATCATGTGTTGCACAACTGTTCACAATGCAATGTCATGTGTTGCAGCAACTGTTCAGAAAACAATATCATGTGTCGCACCAGCTGTTAAAAAATACAATGTCATGTGTTGCACCAACTGTTAAAAAATACAATGTCATGTGTCGCACCAGCTGTTAAAAAATACAATATCATGTGTTGCACCAACTCCTCACGATACAATGTCATGTGTTCCACCAACTGTTCAGAAAACAATGTCATGTGTCGCACCAGCTGTTAAAAATACAATGTCATGTGTTGCACAACTGTTTATAATACATTGTCAAGTGTTGGACCAACTGTTTACAATACAATGTCATGTTTTGCACCAACTCCTCACGATACAATGTCATGTGTTCCACCAACTGTTTACACTACAATGTCATGTGTTGCACCTGTTCACAATACAATGTCATGGTTTGGACCAACTGTTCACAATACAATGTCATGTGTTCCACAAACTGTTCAGAACACAATATCATGTGTTGCAGCAACTGTTCACAATGCAATGTCATGTGTTGCAGCAACTGTTCACACTACAATGTCATGTGCTGCACAACTGTTTACAATACAATGTCATGTGTTGCAGCAACTGTTCACACTACAATATCATGTGTTGCACCCGTTCACAATACAATGTCATGGTTTGGACTAACTGTTCACAATACAGTGTCATGTGTTCCACAAACTGTTCAGAACACAATATCATGTGTTGCACAACTGTTCACAATGCAATGTCATGTGTTTCAGCAACGGTTCACAATACAATGTCATGTGTTGCACAACTGTTCACAATTCAATGTAATGTGTTGCATCTGTTTACAATACAATGGCATATGTTGTATGAGAAGTTCGCTGCATACTCTCATATGATGCATGAGCTGTTTTTATCAGTCATGTAAGGCATCAGTTGTTTACAGCAGAGCGTCAAGTAACGCATCAGTTGTTTACAGCACAGTGTCATGTGACGCATCAGTTATTTACAGCAGAGTGTCATGTAACGCATCAGTTGTTTACAGCAGAGTGTCATGTAACGCATCAGTTGTTTACAGCAGAGCGTCATGTAACGCATCAGTTGTTTATAGCAGAGTGTCATGTAACGCATCAGTTGTTTACAGCAGAGTGTCATGTAACGCATCAGTTGTTTACAGCAGAGCGTCATGTAACGCATCAGTTGTTTACAGCAGAGTGGCATCTAACGCATCAGTTGTTTACATCAGAGTGTCATGTAACGCATCAGTTGTTTACAGCAGAGTGTCATGTAACGCATCAGTTGTTTACAGCAGAGTGTCATGTAACGCATCAGTTGTTTACATCAGAGTGTCATGTGTCGCACCAGCTGTTAAAAATACAATGTCATGTGTTGCAGCAACTGTTCACAATACAGTGTCATGTGTCGCACCAACTGTTCACACTACAATGTCATGTTTTGCACCAACTGTTCACAATACAGTGTCATGTGTTCCACCAACTGTTCAGAAAACAATATCATGTGTCGCACCAGCTGTTAAAAATACAATGTCATGTGTTGCAGCAACTGTTCACAATACAGTGTCATGTGTCGCACCAACTGTTAAAAATACAATGTCATGTGTTCCACCAACTGTTCACACTACAATGTCATGTGTTGCACCTGTTCACAATACAGTGTCATGTGTTCCACAAACTGTTCAGAACACAATATCATGTGTTGCACAACTGTTCACAATGCAATGTCATGTGTTGCAGCAACTGTTCAGAAAACAATATCATGTGTCGCACCAGCTGTTAAAAAATACAATGTCATGTGTTGCACCAACTGTTAAAAAATACAATGTCATGTGTTGCACCAACTCCTCACGATACAATGTCATGTGTTCCACTAACTGTTCAGAAAACAATGTCATGTGTCGCACCAGCTGTTAAAAATACAATGTCATGTGTTGCACAACTGTTTACAATACATTGTCAAGTGTTGGACCAACTGTTTACAATACAATGTCATGTTTTGCACCAACTCCTCACGATACAATGTCATGTGTTCCACTAACTGTTTACACTACAATGTCATGTGTTGCACCTGTTCACAATACAATGTCATGGTTTGGACCAACTGTTCACAATACAGTGTCATGTGTTCCACAAACTGTTCAGAACACAATATCATGTGTTGCAGCAACTGTTCACAATGCAATGTCATGTGTTGCAGCAACTGTTCACACTACAATGTCATGTGTTGCACAACTGTTTACAATACAATGTCATGTGTTGCAGCAACTGTTCACACTACAATATCATGTGTTGCACCCGTTCACAATACAATGTCATGGTTTGGACCAACTGTTCACAATACAGTGTCATGTGTTCCACAAACTGTTCAGAACACAATATCATGTGTTGCACAACTGTTCACAATGCAATGTCATGTGTTTCAGCAACGGTTCACAATACAATGTCATGTGTTGCACAACTGTTCACAATTCAATGTAATGTGTTGCATCTGTTTACAATACAATGGCATATGTTGTATGAGAAGTTCGCTGCAAACTCTCATATGATGCATGAGCTCTTTATATCAGTCATGTAAGGCATCAGTTGTTTACAGCAGAGCGTCAAGTAACGCATCAGTTGTTTACAGCACAGTGTCATGTGACGCATCAGTTATTTACAGCAGAGTGTCATGTAACGCATCAGTTGTTTACAGCAGAGCGTCATGTAACGCATCAGTTGTTTATAGCAGAGTGTCATTTAACGCATCAGTTGTTTACAGCAGAGTGTCATGTAACGCATCAGTTGTTTACAGCAGAGTGCCATGTAACGCATCAGTTGTTTTTATCAGAGTGTCATGTAAAGCATCAGATGTTTACAGCAGAGCGTCATGTAACGCATCAGATGTTTACAGCAGAGCGTCATGTAATGCTTCAGTTGTTTACAGCAGAGTGTCATGTAACGCATCAGTTGTTTACAGCAGAGTGTCATGCAACGCATCAGTTGTTTACAGCAGAGTGTCATGTAACGCATCAGTTGTTTACAGCAGAGTGTCATGCAACGCATCAGTTGTTTACAGCAGAGTGTCATGTAACGCATCAGTTGTTTACAGCAGAGTGTCATGCACCGCATCAGTTGTTTACAGCAGATTGTCATGTAACGCATCAGTTGTTTACAGCAGATTGTCATGTAACGCATCAGTTGTTTACAGCAGAGTGTCATGTAACGCATCAGTTGTTTACAGCAGAGTGTCATGCACCGCATCAGTTGTTTACAGCAGATTGTCATGCAACGCATCAGTTGTTTACAGCAGATTGTCATGTAACGCATCAGTTGTTTACAGCAGAGTGTCATGTAATGCATCAGTTGTTTACAGCAGAGTGTCATGTAACGCATCAGTTGTTTACAGCAGAGTGTCATGTGACGGATCAGCTGTTTACAGCAGAGTGTCATGTAACGCATCAGTTGTTTACAGCAGAGTGTCATGCAACGCATCAGTTGTTTACAGCAGAGCGTCGGGAAGCGTCAGGGTCACTGACCTACAACTCCCCAGTTTGGATGAAGGAGATTGTTGTACCACCCGTCAGCTGGAGTCAGTTCAAACTCTGAAACATAGATGTGGCAGAGTGATTTTGTGTACATACAAGTTAGGTTATACATCTATTTTAGCCATAGTTGTATTCACATTCTATTTCAGATTTGAATTAAGTACATGGTTTATATACTGTGTCTTACTTTTGCCATATAACTGTATTTTAGCTTAAACATTAATACCATAGTTTATTTGTTTCATTCAGTCTATTATATCCAGCCTTTACTAACCATACCACTGCATGCTTTTCACCCACAGCACTTTGTATCCCACCCCGCGCTTAGACTACTCTATTGTTCTCTGTGGTCACTCACAGCTGACCACAGGTATACCTTTGTTCTTTTGTGATCTGGTGCAGTGGCCAGATTACACTTGACGTATGTACATCATAGTCATTTCGTGTATATTTTGAATGGATCTTGTGTTCAGAATTATATTCATTGATCCAATGGATGTGTTAATTTGAAGGTTAGTTGTAGTATATTTTTTGTGTGATGCTTTATATGTATTTTTGTATTTCTAATTCTTAAAGGTAGAAATAAGTTGTGCTAGGTTTATTGCTAGTCGGGTTGTGTATTGAATTCACAGATCAATGTATTCTGGTTGTGATTATGTTCTTTGATAAAGTATTATAAAGCAGTTTCTTTAAAGGATAAATAGCTAATTTATCCTAGGCTATTATCATCTTAACTTGAACATTAACTACGTAAAACTAAACCCTAAATAAATAAATAAATAAATTAAGGTAATTGTGTTAATTGTGTATAAGAATGTATGCATATGTGTGAAAGTGCATTATTTAAGTAATTTGATAAATCCTTGTTTTAAATACCTATTTTACTTTGTGTTGTGTATAGTTATAGTGTAAATAGTATGTGCATTAGTTGAAACTTTGTCAGTGCAGATGTACCTGGCACGACACAGGGTTCACCAATCTGGTATGTATTGTCTATGTGTTATTCATGAATGTATAAGTGTATGTATCTATATATATGCTGACGTCGTATATCTTTGTTATTATCATGTAGCATTTTACTTGTCTAATATTATGACAGTAGAAAGGGTTTTTATTTAGTCTAAATTGGTTATAGGGTCATAAGCATATATATTACTGTATCATTGTGCAGGTTACTTACTACATGAGTAACATAGGTTTCTCGCTATTTCTCGCTATTTTAAGTTCATATAATTGAATGTCCATTAGATTTAAGCCATGATGTATATTATAACAATGTCAATGTTGTATGTCTTTTGTGCGGGATGTCTTATTATTTATACATTGTTACAGGCCGTATTTATTCGCCTTTCTCTTCTGAGAGAATACACATCCATCAGCTCACCCTGTAGCCATTTGTTGTGTTTACCACCCCGACAACAAGGTGCTACAACATAGACGCCCATTTCAGTCACCTCAGGGTGCAGGGTGCTCTACTCTATACATGGAGACAAGGAGCACTAAAGGCGTTTATGGAGACAGGGTGTTTTAATTTATACATGGAGACAAGGAGCACTAAAGGAGTATATGGAGACAGGATGTTTTAATTTATACATGGAGACAAGGAGCACTAAAGTAGTATATGGAGACAGTGAGTTTTAATTTATACATGGAGACAAGGAGCACATAAGTAGTATATGGAGACAGGATGTTTTAATTTATACATGGAGACAAGGAGCACTAAAGGAGTATATGGAGACAGGGTGTTTTAATTTATACATGGAGACAAGGAGCACTAAAGTAGTATATGGAGGCAGTGAGTTCTAATTTATACATTGAGACAAGGAGCACTAAAGTAGTATATGGAGACAGGGTGTTTTAATTTATACATGGAGACAAGGAGCACTAAAGTAGTATATGGAGACAGGGTGTTTTAATTTATACATCGAGACAAGGAGCACTAAAGTAGTATATGGAGACAGTGAGTTTTAATTTATACATCGAGACAAGGAGCACTAAAGTAGTATATGGAGACAGGGTGTTTTAATTTATACATGGCGTCAATGAGCACTAAATGAGTATATGGAGACAGTGCTCTAATTTATACATGGCGACAGGGAGCACTAAAGGAGTATAAAGAGAAAGGGTTTCTCATTTATACATCGGGAGAAGGAGCACTAAATTTAAGTAGTATATGGAGACAGGGTGCTATAATTTATACATCGCGTCAATGAGCACTAAATGAGTATATGGAGACAGTGCTCTAATTTATACATGGCGACAGGGAGCACTAAAGGCGATCATGGAGACAAGGTGCTCTAATTTATACATGGAGACAAGGAGCAGTAAATGAGTATATGGAGACAGTGCTCTAATTTATACATGGAGACAAGGAGCACTAAAGGAGTATAAAGAGAAAGGGTTTCTAATTTATACATCGGGAGAAGAATCACTAAATTAAAGTAGTATATGGAGACAGGGTGCTCTAATTTATACATGGAGACAAGGAGCAATAAAGGAGTACAAAGAGAAAGGGTTTCTAATTTATACATCGGGAGAAGACGCACTAAATTTAAGTAGTATATGGAGACAGGGTGCTCTAATTTACACATGGAGACAAGGAGCACTACATGAGTATATGGAGACAGGGTGCTCTAATTTATACATGGAGACAAGGAGCACTACATGAGTATAAAGAAAAAGGGTTTCTAATTTATACATCGGGAGAAGAAGCACTAAATTAAAGTAGTATATGGAGACCGGGTGCTCTAATTTATACATGGAGACAAGGAGCACTAAAGGAGTATAAAGAGAAAGGGTTTCTAATTTATACATCGGGAGAAGAAGCACTAAATTAAAGTAGTATATGGAGACAGGGTGTTCTAATTTACACATGGAGACAAGGAGCACTAAAGGAGTATATGGAGACAGGGTGTTCTAATTTATACATGAAAACAAGGAGCACTAAAGGAGTATATGGAGACAGGGTGTTTTAATTTATACATGGAGACAAGGAGCACATAAGTAGTATATGGAGACAGGGTGTTCTAATTTATACATGGAGACAAGGAGCACTAAAGGAGTATATGGAGACAGGGTGTTCTAATTTATACATGAAAACAAGGAGCACTAAAGGAGTATATGGAGACAGGGTGTTTTAATTTATACATGGAGACAAGGAGCACATAAGTAGTATATGGAGACAGGGTGTTCTAATTTACACATGGAGACAAGGAGCACTAAAGGAGTGTATGGAGACAGGGTGTTTTAATTTATACATGGAGACAAGGAGCACTAAAGTAGTATATGGAGGCAGTGAGTTCTAATTTATACATGGAGACAAGGAGAACTAAAGTAGTCTATGGAGACAGTGAGTTTTAATCTAAACATGGAGACAAGGAGCATATAAGTAGTATATGGAGACAGTGAGTTCTAATTTATACATGGAGACAAGGAGCACTAAAGAAGTTTATGGAGACAGGGTGTTCTAATTTATACATGGAAACAAGGAGCAGTAAAGTAGTATATGGAGACAGGGTGTTTTAATTTATACATGGAGACAAGGAGCACTAAAGGAGTATATGGAGACAGGATGTTTTAATTTATACATGGAGACAAGGAGCACTAAAGTAGTAGATGGAGACAGTGAGTTCTAATTTATACATGGAGTCAAGGAGCACATAAGTAATATATGGAGACACGGTGTTCTAATTTATACATGGAGACAAGGAGCACTAAAGAAGTTTATGGAGACAGGGTGTTCTCATTTATACATCGAGACAAGGAGCACTAAAGTAGTATATGGAGACAGTGTGTTCTAATTGTTTACATCGAGACAAGGAGCACTAAAGGAGTATATTGAGACAGGGTGTTCTAATTTATACACGGAGACAAGGAGCACTAAAGGAGTATATGGAGACAAGGTGTTCTAATTTATACATCGAGACAAGGAACACTATAGTAGTATATGGAGACAGGGTGCTTTAATTTATACATGGATACAAGGAGCACTAAAGGAGTATATAGAGAAAGGGTTTCTAATTTATACACCGAGAGAAGGAGCACTAAATTAAAGTAGCATATGTAGACAGGGTGTTCTAATTTATACATGGAGACAAGCACCACTAAAGTAGTACATGGAGACAGGGTGTTCTAATTTATGCATCGAGACAAGGAGCCCGAGAGGAGTATATGGAGATTGGGTGTTCTAATTAATACATCGAGACAACGAGCGCTTAAGGAGTATATGGAGAAAGGGTGCTCTAATTTATACATGGAGACAAGGAGCACCAAATGTGTATATGGAGACAGGGTGTTCTAATTTATACATGGAGAAAGAGTGCACTAATGTATGACAGGAACATAATTTTGATGGAATTGAGATTGACCCAGGTCTCCGATTTACCTAGCAACGAATGTTGGATGTGTCGTAAAATCTACTTAACAGCATGTCAAACTGACGAACATAAACTGGCGGATCTGTGACCTACCTTCTTCAGAAGCCGTCATGTTGCATGTCTGCGAGTGTCCACCTGTTGGAACAAGGAGGGGACACATGAGCGCAAGTACTTGGTGTACATAGTACATGGAGAAACAGGTAGGAAGACTCGCAGTTCACCTCGTCACAGCAATGGGTATAACATGGCGGCAAATCATTGTTCACCTGGTTAAATTTGTGCAGACAAGAGAACAGCAAGGCCCATAGTTAGTTTGGTTAGATTGGCGCGGTCAAGAGAATAACGAGGTCTATTTTTCACTTTGTTAGATTGACACAGACAACAGAACAACCGCAATCTATATCAGGTCTTTGAAAGGCATTTAGAAGTGATACACATGATCTGAGGAAGAGAATATCAATGTCAGCTTCTGTATTATGAGGAACACAACGTTTCGGAGTATATGCTTACTCCTTCATTCAAATAAAGAAGTTGACACCCATATATTCTCTTCCTGTACTACACAGCAGGGCAAGACAACGTATAGTTCAGCTGATTACACCGACACAGTCGACAGAACAACACGGTCTATAGTTCAGCAGGGTACATCGCGCATCGACACAATCTAGTAAGGTGCCTCACTCTGGAAATGTGGGTTCGAATCAGGGAGGGGACTAAAAAACCACAAAAGAACTAGAATCTGTGTCTTACTAAGAAAGTGTTATCTATAATATAACATGTGTTACATTTGACCACTTTCTAAATGGCATTGTGTGTTCATAACAAGGTGTGTAGTTCACTTGCGTGCTATGACACAAACCATAGGACCACAAGGTCTGTACCTCAGTTGTGTGATATGTCACAAACCATAGGACCACAAGATCTGAAGTTCAGTTGGGTGATATGACACAAACAATAGGACCACAAGATCTGTACCTCAGTTGGGTGATATGACACAGACCATAGGACCACAAGGTGTGTAGTTCAGTTGGGTGATATCACACAGACCATAGGACCACAAGGTATGTACCTCAGTTGGGTGATATGACACAAACCATAAGACCACAAGGTCTGTACCGCAGTTGGGTGATATGACACAAACCATAGGACCACAAGGTCTGTACCTCAGTTGGGTGATATGACACAGACTATAGGACCACAAGGTGTGTAGTTCAGTTGGGTGATATGACACAGACCATAGGACCACAAGGTCTGTACCTCAGTTGGGTGATATGACACAGACTATAGGACCACAAGGTCTGTAGTTCAGTTGGGTGATATGACACAGACCATAGGACCACAAGGTCTGTACCTCAGTTGGGTGATATGACACAAACTATAGGACCACAAGGTGTGTAGTTCAGTTGGGTGATATGACACAGACCATAGGACCACAAGGTCTGTACCTCAGTTGGGTGATATGACACAAACTATAGGACCACAAGGTGTGTAGTTCAGTTGGGTGATATGACACAGACCATAGGACCACAAGGTCTGTACCTCAGTTGGGTGATATGACACAGACTATAGGACCACAAGGTCTGTAGTTCAGTTGGGTGATATGACACAGACCATAGGACCACAAGGTCTGTACCTCAGTTGGGTGATATGACACAAACTATAGGACCACAAGGTCTGTAGTTCAGTTGGGTGATATGACACAAACCATAGGACCACAAGGTCTGTACTTCAGTTGGGTGATATGACACAGACTATAGGACCACAAGGTGTGTAGTTCAGTTGGGTGATATGACACAAACCATAGGACCACAAGGTCTGTAGTTCAGTTGGGTGATATGACACAAACCATAGGACCACAAGGTCTGTACCTCCGTTGTAGACCATATAGACATATAGACCATGGAGGCCGTCTCTGGGTAGACGCTCTCCCATCTAGACCATGAAGGCCGTCTCCGGGCAGACACAGTATCTCTAGACCATGAAGGCCGTCTCCGGGCAGACACAGTATCTCTAGACCATGAAGGTGAGGTGAGGTGAAATTGGGTTTAACGTCGCGTCCAAGATTATTGCACTTATATAGCGACGTGCATGCACGTGTATGTGTGTGTGTGGCTGCTTGTACTAGTCCGGATTGATGCCGATTTATAGTGCTAGCTCACTGAGATACCATGCCGCAGTTTAACATGAATACCCCACTCAGACACAGTATACTGACTCTGAGCCGACCAGTCCTTGTTTTAGCCCCTTAATGCCGAGCGCCAGACAGGGTAACAACAAGTACAATCTTTTAACGTCTTTTTGTATGACGCGGCCTGGGATCGAACCCTGGACCTTCCGCTCTCCGGGCGGACGCTCTACCACTAGACCACGGAGGCGGTTAGACCATGAAGGCCGTCTCCGGGCAGACACAGTATCTCTAGACCATGAAGGCCGTCTCCGGGCAGACACAGTATCTCTAGACCATGAAGGCCGTCTCCGGGCAGACACAGTATCTCTAGACCATGAAGGCCGTCTCCGGGCAGACACAGTATCTCTAGACCATGAAGGCCGTCTCCGGGCAGACACAGTATCTCTAGACCATGAAGGCCGTCTCCGGGCAGTCGCACTACCCTTAGACCATGGAGGCGTCCTGGTAGACGCTCTACAGCTAGACCATGGAGGCGGTCTCCCATCAGACCCTCTATCTCTAGACCATGGAGGCAGTCTCCGGGCAGACGCAGTATCTCTAGACCATAGAGGCGGTCTCTGGGTAGACGCCCTACAGCTAGGCAATGGAGGCGGTCTCCCATCAGACTCTCTACCTCTAGACCATGGAGGCGGTCACCCGGCAGACGCTCAACCGCTAGACCATGGAGGCGGTCTCCCATCAGACCCTCTATCTCTAGACCATGGAGGCAGTCTCCGGGCAGACGCAGTATCTCTACACCATAGAGGCGGTCTCTGGGTAGACTCTCTACCTCTAGACCATGGAGGCGGTCACCCGGCAGACGCTCAACCGCTAGACCATGGAGGCGGTCTCTCATCAGACCGTCTACCACTAGTCCATGGAGGTGGTCTCCGGGCAGACCCTCTACAGCTAGACCACGTAGGCGATCTTTGAAATTAGAAATCCTCATACATCGTGACCGTTGCATGCTCACTGGTGCAAAACTGACACTTTTATTCCTCGTTGATATCTATTAAGTTCATGACAGTGTGCGGATCCGGTTACCGGACGTATAGGGAGGTGGGCGGGTCACCTTCTTCTTATCACAGGGAGAGGGGATTTCAGAGAAGAATGACAGTTCTTCCTGTCTTCAGTCAACAATTTCCGCTAGGACAGACACAAACGGTACTTGGACTTTCTCACTTTGACTGCAAGGAAGAGAAGGGAATATAACACAAACATGGATCATGGGTTTGCTTGCTTCAGTATAATACAATTACTATCGAGTGGTGGGGCGGTCGGGTAGCCCGTCACGCCGAAGACCTGGGTTCGAATCCCGACATGGTTACAATGTGTGAAGCCATTTCTGGTGTCCCCCGTCGTGTCATTGCTGGAATATTGCTAAAAGCGGCGTAAAACCATACTAACTCACTACTATCGAGTGGTTTTAATTTTCTGGTTTAATCTTTGCATGTCAATACACGTTAATGTATGTTTGCGTCAATACACTTGATGTAGTTTAGCAAAGGTTCATCTGCGGCAACTTGACGAAGTGTTCTGCCTAATCTACTTCTGTCCACATTCCGTATTAGGATTGCAGATACATGCGTTTCATAAAGACACACTGTCACACGTCGTGTATGCACGGTCTGTAGCGCCTGTGATCAGGTGATGGAGCTTAAGGCAGACTGACAGCTAACTTGAAAGGGTCATCAACACCTTACATAGCAACCTTGGTCAATCACTACATATGTATAGCATGGTAGCTAAGATAACGGACACGACTAGTACGGCCGGTCCAGAAGATTGCATGGACATTCGACAGCCCCAAGGAAAACATATCCATAGACCACGCAGTTCACCACATGGTCCTTGAGATAGCTTAGATATTAAAACATATAACAATAACACCAAAAGATAAATGGCGGATGTTTAGAAAACTTTGTGTAGATTATTTGCATACATTTGATTCCTTCTTTCCCACACTGGCGTTGCTGCATCAAAGTCGTCTTTTCAATATTAGCTTTTTTTCCCACAACAAGCAGGCACGCCCTTCCATTACCTTTGGTCATGGTCAGAGCTATGTATGTATGTATGTATGCGTGCGTGCGTGCGTGCGGACTAATGCCGATGTACAGTGCTAGACCACTGAGAGACCATAGCACGGTGTAACATGAATACTACACTCAGTATTCTGACTCCGAACCGACCAGTCCTTGTTTCAGTTCCTTAATGCCGAGCGAAGGGGTCAACTGTCAAATGTAGAGGCGCCGAGCTCGCACTGATCACCCTCGACATGCTCCGTGCGATATAAACACCAGGTGCACATTGAATAGTGATTTATACACCAGGTGCACATTGAAAAGCGATATATACACAAGGTGCACATTGAATAGTGATTTATACACCAGGTGCACATTGAATAGCGATATATACACCAGGTGCACATTGAATAGTGATTTATACACCAGGTGCACATTGAATAGCGATATATACACCAGGTGCACATTGAATAGTGATTTATACACCAGGTGCACATTGAATAGCGATATATACACCAGGTGCACATTGAATAGTGATTTTATACACCAGGTGCACATTATAATTAAATAGCGATATATACACCAGGTGCACATTGAATAGCGATTTATACACCAGGTGCACATTGAATAGTGATATATACACCAGGTGCACATTGAATAGTGATTTATACACCAGGTGAATGTTGAATAGCGATTTATCCATCAGGGGCACATTGAATAGCGATATATACACCAGGTGCACATTGAATAGTGATTTATACACCAGGTGCACGTTGAACAGCGATATATACACAAGGTGCACATTGAATAGTGATTTATACATCAGGTGCACATTGAATAGCGATATATACACAAGGTGCACATTGAATAGTGTTTTTATACACCAGGTGCACATTGAATAGCGATATATACACCAGGTGCACATTAAATAGTGATTTATACATCAG